GGGATTCTCATCGGTTTTCCTGGCGGTACCCTCGGTGTCCTGGCCGTTGAAGAGGTCCAGGTACGACATGTACTGTATCCGCTCCCACCAGATCATCGGGGCGTTATCAGGCATTGTGTTTTCTTGTGTGCGGGACCTTTGATGGAAGTCGTGCGACGATGGTTTGAAATGCAGATTGGCGATGTGAAGCCCCCCGAGGTGGGGTGTCGCTCAACTCCTGGTGGTCGCGCTTCATAGCGCTTAGGTCTTTCCATCACCCTCCGAACTTAACTGATCCCATGACACCCTCAACTCATCCCACGAGATTAAGGTTTCTTGGGCGACGGGGCGCAACTCTGGTGCTTGAGGACAGCTTGGATGTCGACAACTGTACTCTTGGCCCTCCCGTTCCGAGTGGAACTGAATAGCTAACAAGATTCAACACCCAGTGAAGCTCCAGTGGGACACCAGCTCCAGTCAAGATGCAGCTAGGCTCTAGCCCAATGGCTCCCCGCCTTCTTGCTAACTTTGCCCTGCGATGGGATACGAGGCTCTCTCGTCACACTAAACTCCAAAACCATCCCTGCTAGGTCTTGACAGATTAACCTTTCTCTACAGTCCTCCGTCGCGACCACACACACATAAGCCACTTGGATGTGAGTCCCAAAGTTTGGTGTCAACCCGCCCCAAAGACCGCAGCACCAAAAACTCGTATTAAACCGCCAGCTATAAAGGTCAGGTCAAGGTTTGGCCATGAGTCACAAATACGCGTGGTAAACCTGCGGCCCAGCATCCATTATGCTCGAAGTTTAATCGCACCGGGTATCATTCGTACTAGCTATTTTCCATATATAAACAACAAAAAAGGAAAGAGAAAAACAAAAAGACTTTCTACTTTTGCCTAATGTTCTTCGCCTTCCGCTTTTTGAATACCGGCGCTTGTGGCGCTGCCGGTGCAACCTCGGCCTCCTTCGTGTCTTTCGTGGGGTGGTCTGTCGCCGCCAGCCCGGTGTCATCCTCCGGCTCCTTTTTTATGACGGGGTTGTCGGTGGGCTCGGCGTCTTGTTTATCCGCGCTCGGTTCGTCGACATCCTCCCGTTTGATATCCTCCGCCTTGACGCCCTCGTCCTTGACGTCTTCTTCCTTGATACTCTCCTCCTTAATCCCCCCTCGGCCACCCACCTCCAGCTCCCCACTCAAGAGTGCCTCAAGCTCGTCATCCTTCCCCGGCATACCCCTCACCTCCCTCCCCCACCCCTTCCTCTTCTTAAACAGTCTCCCCACCGCCTCCTCCTCCTCCCTCTCCTCCTCCGTGACTTCCCTCTTCCTCACCCCCACCGCAACCCCCGACACATCCCCCTCGGCCCGCTCCTCCACGACCCGCGTGCTCGTGACGGTCCACTCTCCAGCCATCGCCATCTCGCCCCTCTGCTCCGTCGGGATCGAGACCCCCAGCCCCGCGAGCTCCTCCAGCCTCCTCTTCCTCTCGGCATCTACCCACGCCGCATCCCCCGCCCTACCCTGCAGCCCCGAGGACTTAGTAGCACCAGCAGTGGACCCCCCGGGCCCGGGCACGAGCCTATTCAGCCTCTCGACCTCTTGGCGGGCCCTGTCCTTTTCCCTCTCCTCCCGCTCGTGGCCCCGGTGGATGTCGCTCAGAGCGCGCTTGACGCCGTTCTGGTGCGTCATTGTAGACTCATGGTTGCGCCTCTCCAGGGCGCTGTCGCGGACGTAAGTGTGGCAGTACTTGCACCAGTACTTCCCCACTGACTTCCAGTAGTCCGACATTGTGACAAATGTCCCCTTGGGCGCGTTGCGTGTATGCGTGCTCGTTCCGTCCCTTTGATAACTTCCCAATATCGCAGTTGCCTAGATGCGCCAGGGTCGAGTTTTCAGGCCCGCTTTCTCCTTCAGGCTCCGCTTGTTTCCAGGTGGGTTTCCAGAAGCTCCCTTTTCTCTCCTTTTTGTGTGTGATAATTCTCAAAGCGTCGGAGGGGAAATATTTTCTGGCGTGAGATGATAGCTGGCGAACGGGTTGAAGTTCCGTTGTGACGTCGCGCCAGGCCCACGAACTAATACGAGTCACGTGATGTCGCGACCTCTTCCCAGAACCTCTCATGGACCCGCTTTATTCGACCTCCATGATTCATGGTTCATTGTTTCTCTTCGGCGTGTCCCTATCCGCTCTTTTTTCGGCTCGTGTTCGCGATGGTGTTCTCAGTAGTATCACTTTAAAGTGCCTGCATTATTCAATCCCAACGTTACAGCCACGTACAAGCTCAAGGATCAGCTGGTGGGAATAGTCCTGATCCAGAAACAGCTTCCAGGTCCGGTATTACACGAGAACACATCAACGTATACCCTCATGGAATGAATTCTCTTGATTATCATCTCATCTCATCTCATCTTATCTCATAAACTAGGATATCCCAAGCAGGATAATTCCTCAATAGACTTCATTTTCCCTCCGAAGCCCAATACATCACTACTGCCATTCAACCTCACTTCCTGCCCTCAAACATCCCCGATTGCCGTTTCAGACACGTTCATGACCAGCCCTTCAGTTGAAAAGTGCCGCGGCCGCCACAGAGATTATGATCACGGCAGCCCAGGTAGGGCCTCCGAGGTCCGGAGCACCAGACTCGTCCTCGCCGGTAGAAGATGGAGCGCTGCCGGTGGCCGTGGCCGTGCCGCCGTGGCGGCCGTGGTGGTCCGTCTCCGTGACATTTCCAGCGATCCCGCTGGTAGCCTGGGCCGTGACGGGGCAGTCGGTGGTATGGCCCTGAACCTGGCCTTTCCAGTGCGGTGGTTAGCTCCAGCATAATCAAGACAGAGACGCCCCAGCTCCTGGGGGAAGAGGGGGGAGGGTTCTTACCATCGTCAATCTGGCAAACGACCTTTCCCACATCTGTAGTCCGGATCTGGGGCTGACCATCCCCCATGACCGTGATAACCTTGGTCGGGACAGTGATCGTCTTAGCCCCAGCGCCAGCCACGGTCTCAGTGGACCCGCCATCCAGGGACTCGCCATCGGCGGTGCAGGGGTTCGACAAAAGATACACAGCATCGCAATGCTCGGCCCAGTTGCGGTCATAGATGTTCCAGAACTCGCCGCTCTTGCACTCGAAGAACTCGGTGTTGCCCTGGTTGAGCGAGAGGTATCCGTCGTGGCAGACGGCGAATCCCCCGGCCGAGATGGCGCCGCTCTGGGGCGGGTCATCGAACTGGAGCTGGAAGTTCGAAGAGATGTACGCGGTGCGGCCCTCCTTGTCCTTGAGGATGCCGTCCTTGAGGGTGACGGTGAGGGAGCCGTCAGTATTGCAATCAGCCTTGGTCTATTCAATACCGTTGCAGTTAGCACATATCCTGGGGGGTGATGTCACGTCTCAATTGGCGAAGGCGGGAGGGGAAATGGAGAATGAGGCAAGTGCCCCTTGGAGCCGCAAAGAGAAAAAACACGAAGAGAGAAGCTTACCTCAGGCTGAGGGACGGCACGCTTGTCCTTCTTTCCATCGACTACTGTAAGCTTGAAATGTCCGTCGACGCTCCCCTGGCACTCAGTCGCGTTCTCGGCGACCTGAGAAACACGCTTCGCAACTGGTTCAACAGCAGAAACGAGGGCCATGCAGGCCGCGATAATCGCGACGGTGGGCTTCATCTTTCAAAGAGTATCAAGAGTGACTCTGCTTGAAATAGATGTTTCTCTTTATAGGAAATCTGGGAAAGAGATTGCGCTAGCTCAAGAACGTCAAGATGTGTGCGGTGATGGTGGAAAACCGAACTTGTGTTGTTGCGCTAGGAAACTGGAGGATGCGGACTCGAGAAGCGAAGGTGGGCGTTTTATGGGCAAACAGAGAAATGGGACGAAAACAGAAGGAGCACCCGAGTTGCACCGGCACCTGTTTGGAGTACCTTCCTTCATTGCTATTCAATATCGAAAGTTCACCTGGAGATATGTAGGTCGGAAGGGCAATAGTAGTAGTTATGAGTCTACTGGCTTGGCCTACCCTACCTTTGCTTTGTTCATTGCTCAGAGCGTATTTGCGGGGCTATGAGAGTGGAATCGTCACTTGGAACAGGATCCAGGCGGAGCCCGAGTAGTTCGAGATTCTACCTAGAATTGTCTTTTCCCAGACTGTATGAACGAATCCCAAGCTACGGCTGAGTCGGAGGGCAAGATTCATCCCAAACGGTATACAATGGGCTTCCTCTTTCCTTCAGTACAGAGGGACTATGAGAGATTCGACCATATTTCTAGGTGCGTGGTATCAACGTTACCAAGGCTGGAAGCGCCTTTCCCTTGGTCGCTCAAGTCGACTCTCTCGTTCCACTCACGCCTCAGCGGCGCCGTGGGCCTCTTCCTTTCGTAGCTGGAGACTTTGGCTCGATACTCAGACCCTTCCAATGGACAGCGGCGTGATACAAAATCAGGGTGGAACTTGCCGTGAGCAATCTCAGCACTTTTACTAGCGAATTTGACTCCTGGGTTGGGACAAGTCCTAGAGTTCATAGGTAGTGGGCCCGTATTCGTGTTGTAGACAGACATATATCGCAGCTTGTTCCTGTCCTCAAACAGCTGGATGCATTGACTGCCCTTCGATTGCTTGACGTTCCCCGGATTTGGGGACCGACTGCAACGAGACCATTGCCTCGAGAGCCGCAGCCAGCGATGCAACAGTTGGGTACATCAGCATACCCACGTCTACACATCTCCAAATGGCAAACCGGGGTACCACCGGGCTTGGAGGATAGAACTCAAAGAGTATTGATTTACCGGTGGTTCTTCTCGTGCTTGATAGTGATGCAAGCGGAGAAGATGCCTGTGAGTTCAGGTATAGGCATATACATTCCCAGGGGCGGCATCTAGGACACTGTTGACCTGTTCGAGCGTAGACACGTTCCCTCTCCCCGCTGCCCAAAAACAGAAGAGAAAAAGACACACGAGCGATGGAGTACAGCCAAGAGGATCAAAAAGATCGACGACCAAGGACACAACGGGCAAAAAAGGTTCCTAAAGAAAGGGGCCGTTCCGGGGTTTGAACCCGGGACCTCGCACAATAACGTCACGTGACCAAGTCACTATGAACCCAAAGCGCGAATCATACCACTAGACCAAACGGCCAATTTGAGCTCTTGTTCTATATGCTTCGCCCAAGCAGTGCTATGCAGGTAGCATCGCTCGTCTGGACGGCAGTTTCCCATTATCCTCCGCTCGTTGCGAGCGCTGGATGACATCCCTCCCGGAGATGGATGTGATACCTTGACGGTGCAGTGCATAGCGGGGTCGGGATTTAATATCATTGCTACCTCGTACCCCGTATAGGGAAAGAAAAAAAGGACAAAAAAATAAAACATCTTTGCAGGACTTCCTGTGCAATTCCGGAACCGGAACCCGGAACCATGACCGGGGTCGACCTCCGTGTGAATACCCCACATGCACCCCGGATTGGACTACCCTCCCCGCACCCTTCCTCAGATCTAGCATCATTCAATGCATTTGTTTCCCTACTGCCTTGAGGAGACGGCCTTGTATCTGGCCCCAGCCCCGACTTACTCTGGGTACCATCAAATGTTGGGTTACTCCGAGGCCCCCAATGCCCGCCGCTTAGGAGGCCATCTCAGCGCTTTGCTATTCTCCTCGCGTAGGACAAGGGGGGTTCTGTCCGTACATCTCGGCGTCTTAATAATAGCAAAATCGAGTGAAAGCAATCAACTGCCCCAACGTAATTTAAGATTACACCGGCCATTATGCCTTCCATCTTCATGAATACGATATCCCATCCACGCACAAGTCCATTTAAAGCAGCAGCGCAATGGTCATATCCTCCGCCCTGGCCCCAGCCCTGGCCTCCACCCCGCCTATCCCCAAACCACTGAAGTGCACAACGAGCGAGACGCGTTGGTTTGCATACTGAACGGGAGACACCGTTGGCGGGACACGGTGACAATTGACCCTGTCACTCGGTTGCTGGACATCCTAGGACCCTGAGATGCGGGACAAGGATGGAGAGTCTACGTCGCATTCTTCCTGAATCGCGTTCTCTTGTTCTGTTTTATATTTCTGTGATTTTACCTTTCCCCATAGTTTAAATACATGCCCGAACCCGTTTCAGCCTTTCTTATCTCATGTCATACCCGTCCTATTATTTCCCATAGATCAAAAGAAGCCGTCCTCTTACTCCCCTCCGTTACCCTCCCATATGCCCCCCCTTAATCCAGTAACACCTCAAATTCAAACGCCCCTGTCCGAAGCTCATACTCCGGCAAGGTCGCCGGCCCACAACTCCCCGTCCCGAGTCCGTGATGCGCCCAGTCCAGCCGGACAACCACATCCTCCCTCCTCCTCTCCCTCAGCTCGTACGGGTGCCGGCACTCGTCGAGGTCCGCCGTCGTATACCGCATAGCCGAGAAACTCGCCCCCTCCAGGTCCCCGAACCGAGCCCTCAGAACCCTCTCCTCCTCCTCCCCGGGCGCGGAACGGAACTCCACAGAGCGCACGTCGGTCCTGTTCCCCCCATCCTGCGGGAACTCGTAATCTACGAAGAGGTCGTCGACGGACGAGTTGTGCACCCCAATGGACTGCGAGAGCTTCTTATCCCTGTAGCTCTCCCCCGGGCCCCGACCGAACCAGCTTGCGCTCTTTACGCCCGTCAGGCCCAGCGTCAGGCCGATCCGCGCAAATGTGTCGGGGAGCAGCGGCCCGCCGGGCGTCCCCTTTACCCGGATGGATACCCTGTCTCCGGAGAACGAGAGCACGGTGACGAGATCGACGCCCCACGCAAGTACGGGCGGGGCTATCCGACCCGTGACGTGCACCTCGAGCGCCGTGTCCACGACGCGCCATGTTACCTGGCGGACGTGATGCTTCGTCTGGTGGAGCCGGCGCGCGAGCCACTGCCTCCCGAAGCGGCCTCCGCGGTCGTTGTCCGTTAGTGCGCGGTAGAAGTCCATCGTCACGGGGGACGTGAGGATATTCTTGTCGGGACTGGAGGAGCGACGCCACGAGACGAGGGCGCCGAGGGTGAGGTCCACGGTCCAGTTTGAGGCTCCACCGGGCGAGGTGATGGTGAGGGTTCCGGGTGTGGACTGGGATACGGTGGGGGCGAGGGATGGCGGCGGGAGGAGGGATTGAATGGTCGTGAGGGAGCGGGCAGGACTGATCTGGTGTTCGCCAAAGGCGACTTCGAAATTGGCGGGAGACCAGGGGGTCTCGCTGGGGAGCCGGAAGCTGATTCTGATGTAGGTCTCGCCGCTGAACCGCGTCGGGAGACCCGAGAGGGCGACTTTAGTCTGGGTATGGGGTTTGACCCCGGAGGGAATCTTCACCAACTTCTCCTTACTTTGACCCGTTTCATCGATGATTCGCCAGCTAGCGACGAGATGGTCTAGAGTCCGATGGTCGTATCGATTCACGATGGTGAGCTCGTTTCCTTCGAGCTTCACCGTCTGCACTGGCTCAATGGCCTTTCGGTACTCTGTGAGACCCGGCGTCGGGGTATGGTCCGAGAAGAGCAGCCCGTCCATGCAGAAGTTGCCATCGTTGGGCTCGTCCCCCCAATCGCCGCCGTACGCCATGTACGTCTCGCCCTTTGCATTCTTTGCTTTCAGTCCCTGCCGAGTGTTAGTACCCGTCCCGCCTTCAAAAGGGGGTGACTGGATGACCTACATGGTTCGCCCACTCCCATACGAAACCTCCCATGAGCCGGGGATATTTGTAAAAGGCGTCAATGTACTCCTTGATAGCCCCCGGCCCGTTCCCCATCGCATGCACGTACTCGCACAGCACGAGCGGCTTTTCCCACCTCGGCTCCTCCGCGATCTTGATAATCTCATCGACACTAGCGTACATCCGGCTGTACACGTCCGCGCTGCGAGCCGAATAGTCCTGCTCGTAATGCACCGGCCTCCCCCCGTCGACCGTCTTGATCCAGTCGTACATGGCCCTGTGGTTCCGCCCGTAGAACGCCTCGTTCCCCAGTGACCAGATGACTACGCACGCGTGATTCTTGTCGCGCATGACCATCTGGCGTGCCCGGTCCACGTACGCCTCCGTCCACTCCGGGTTGTCGGAGGTGAACCTGGCCGGGTCGCTCCCGACCTCGCCGAAGCCATGGCACTCGAGGTCCGCCTCGTCGATGACCCACAGGCCTAGCTCGTCAGCCAGGTCGTAGAGGCGTGGGTCGTCGATGTAGTGCGACGTCCGGATCCCGTTGACGTTGTGACGCTTCATGAGGAGGAGATCACGCTTCATGAAGTCGTAGGGGACGGCGCGGCCGTGCTCCGGGTGGTGCTCGTGGCGGTTGACGCCGCGGAACTTGACGGGGTTGCCGTTCACGCAGAAGACGCCGGACACGAAGTCTATTCTGCGGAAGCCGACCCGCTGGGACAGGTGGGTACCGCCCTCGAAGGTGAGGAGGAGCGTGTAGAGGTAAGGGGTTTCGGCGGTCCACTTGTGGGGGTTCGACAGGCGGAGGCAGAAGGTGCCCTCCGGCTTGAACTCCTCTTTGGCCTCAGCGACAGATTTACCATCGGCGTCGATGAGTTTCAGCAAGACGGTGGATGATTGGGACATTTTGACGACGACCCTCAGCTCAGCATCCCCGTAGTCGTCGTCGAGGAGAGTCTGGACGTGGAAGTCCTCCGGATGCACCTTAGGGAAGGAGTGGAGGTAAACATCCCGGAAGATGCCGCTGAGCCAGAGCTGGTCCTGGTCTTCGAGATAGGACCCGTCACATCGCTGGTAGACCTCCACGGCGAGGTGGTTCTCCTCACCGAACCTGACATAGTCGGTGACGTCAAACTCGCTGGGGTTGCGTGAGCCCTGGGAGTAGCCCACGTTACGCCCGTTCACCCATACCGTGAACGACGAGTCCACGCCCTCGAACCGCAGCCGCTGCTGATGCCCGGAGAGCTCCTCGGCGACGGTGAAGGTGGTGAGGTACCGGCCGCACTCGTTGTCGTCAAATGGGACGTTGGGGGGATCGACCGGCCATGGGTAGTTGATATTGGTGTACTGCGGGCCTTTACCGTAGCCCTGGCACTGCCACATGCCCGGCACGTCCACCTTGTCCCATCCCGAGGAGTCGAAGGACGGGTCGGCGAACGCTGTGGGCCCCTTGAAGGGGGTGGTGGAGAGGTGGAACTTCCATTTCCCAGAAAGGAGTTGGCACTTGGACCGGGCCGTGTCGCGGCTGAGGGCATCGGCTTGGGAGCCGTAGAGGTAGAACGTGCTCCGCGGGGGCAGCGTGTTGCGGTGAAGGACGGAGAGGTTGCACCAATCTGGAGGGGAGGTGGGGAAGAGCGGGCGGCTCGGTGTGGGAGCGGGGATATCGCCCGCCGCCGCACGCGAGGAGGGAGTTGGAGTAAGTCTGGGCGTTGGGGAATGGATGGGTGATGAGCGGGGCAGTTCACTTGTGGTCTCGATGTTTGGGGCCGAGGTCTGAGGATTCAACGATCGTATTTGCATATCTACATGTATTGACGCGTCGTCCGGAATCATAATGTGTCCTGGCTCGCGGACCTTGGCCTGGTTGGACTTCGGTGACCGCAGATTTGATGGTAGCATCGTCCTGGACGTCAAGTCGAGAGGAAGGCAGGAAAACGGGCGCAACGCCAAAGGTGCTCTCACGATGTGGAGAAGAGAGTTCGCTGTGTGGGGTTGCGGGGTTGAGGCTCGTGATGGATATCGTGTTAGCAGAGTCTGGTCATTTGGTGCGGGGTGCTAAACAGTGCATGTGACAGGCTTCTCTGCGCCGGAGTGGAGCTATGAAGCCACAGTATTGGCCGCCCCGCCCGCCTAGGCTCAGGAGGAAGAGGCCCGCGCCTCCGTCCAAGCTGGGCTACTTCGATCCATATTGGTATGTAGTATGAGTATTAAGAGTAGTGCAGTACGGTTGGCGGGGTGGCAAGAAAAAAAATTATTGGATACTTCAAAGGTTGAAATTATCCTCTGGTAGCTGGCCAGAGCTACCATATGCAGATTGCCTCTTACAGGCTAGCAAAAGCAATGGAATGCGGAGTGAGAAAGAAGTACTTGCATCAGGGCAATATGCCTCGCAGTCTAGCATACTACTACTCAAGTGCGTGTCCTGTCCCCCACTGTACTCATACGAATATGAGCAG